CACTTGGTAATTATTTTTGTAAAATTAACAATAAAATATGGTTTTATAGTATGTGTTACCAGAATTATGTTTTTGTTTATCAGAAAAAATATTACCATATACTATGGTAATTTTTCTCCGTGTATAAAGGAAAAAAAAACTTACCTAACAATATAGAAAACTCAAGTTAAAGCGGAATTTTGTAACGCAATATTCAGATTTTAAAATAAAATGTTTTTAAATATTTTTCAAGAAATATAAATTAAAATTGGAATTTTTGATTCAAAATGATTCGTATTTTTTGCTAATGGAAAACAATAATACAAAGTTATGAAGTTTTTTTTGCCTAGAAAGAAGCTAACACCTAAAGACATTTTGAAAGTTATCTGCACAATTTAATGATTGTGTAATTATTAAAAGTAAAAGAGAGTCAATTTCTTATGTATGCTGTTTGTGTTTAATTGTCTTATTGACTCTTATCAATTCTGGTCAATTTTTCAATTACTCGTTTGTTTCTGTACTATATAGACTTAAACTTTTACAATAATTACTTTTTTTCATAAAAAATAAATGTGACAAATTTTCTAAGTCGCTTATGCTTGATATTAATGTTTAACTAATGACAAATTGGAATTCAACATTTTAAATAGTGTGAAAAAATCGGCTTTTGTTAATTTTTCCATGCTATCATTAATATTTAGTGCCTTTATTATTATGTATTATTTTACTTAACACTAAAATATGTTAGATTGTTTAATAAATTTGGTTCAAACAAATTTATTAAAGTTTTAAAGCTTTACTACTATCAGCAAATTCGTAAACATGTCTTTCCCCATTCATTGAAATAAAATATATTATTTTTATCGGAGTTAAAAGAAAATTTTTACCTTATTTTGGATTAAAAAAATTGTTCTTAGTCTCAATTTGCTTCAAATATTGTTTGGAATTTTAAAGAAAACTGCCAATGTTTGGTTTCTATAAAATGATCTCTCTACTGTAAAAGAAATCTGAATCATATATTGAAAGAAATATTCTCACAATACGTTGCTAGGATACTTGGTGTCTCTAAAACGTTTGGTATAAAATGATTTTAATCTGAAATTTAGTATTTCGAAATAATAACCGAATCAAAAGCATTTTGAAATATGCTTTATGTGATTTTTGTAATTTAAAGCTTTAGGAATTGTGAAAAAAAATATTGATTGTTACATTTGGACATGATTAATATAGAAGTTTCCCCTGATGTTCCGTAGTGAGTATTTACTTGGTACTACGCACGTGTAGTAAATATGAAGTCAATACTCGCTATATGATCTTTATATTCATTCGCCTCAAGAGCTTTATATTCATCTGCTTCATGAGCTCTATATTCAGTGAAGTACCGGAGTATAATTTTTCCTCTTTTTAAGAATAATGTTCCAATATTAGATAAAAACTTGATTTATAAATTATTTTTACTTGAATTATGCATACAGTTTATGTATAAAACCTGTTATGCGTCACCATAAGTTACTTTTTTGTGTAAATTGATTTTCAAAAAAAGAAAATATTTTCAAATACAATATTTTTTAAGTCATACCTCGCATATATACTTTTCTCATTTCTTTCACAACATAATGTATTGTATGTAATGAACAAATACCAGGCACTATTTTTATGTGGTAAGTCTATTATACTGCTCTGCACCCTTGAGCAAATAATAAACATTTCGTGAATGGCAATAAGAGATTTTTCAAAAATTTGTAAATTAAGAATGCATTGTAGAGGAATATCCTCTTAACTTCAACCACAATATTAAAAAAAAAGTTTAGTGTGGACGTGGATATTCAGGAAGTTAAACTTTTAATAACTAAATTGTGCAATTGGATACCTTCTAGTAACGTCATCGTAGGAAAATCGTAGCATTTGTCGATTCAGAAGCCAATCAAGTTCGACACCCAAGTGTGACGTTGCCTTCAAGTATCCAATTAAATCTGACTTATGTCACATGATTAGGCATAATCATCTTGCTTCTTCTTCAGTTGTAAGTACCCAATTAAATAAATAAATTCCTTAATTTTAAATAACGAAAAAAATATTTAGTTTCTTATTTATTATTGAAATAAATATATTCTATAGTTTTTTTTTTAAGAATGAATTCTTCATCGTCATTTTGTGTTAACGCTCTTCTTGATCTGTTTATAACATGTCCGTGGCCTTAATTTGAAGGCAGTCTGCAACAGAAAACAAAATTCGAAAGCCATGAATAGTGAATGTGTATTTTTATAAAACCACTCAAACAAAACTTCAAGATATGTAAGATACAAATAAAAAAAATATATAAAAGAGCATTTCTGCTTTACAATAGAGCTCAATTGCTTTACATCTTACGCTCAGGAGCGTTTGGAATCTAACGTAAATTTTCAATATCCCCCAAATAGCATCTATAATAAAACTCATTTTTTTATTAGTTTGGTTTTCAAGCTTAGAAATACTTTTGATTTCATTGATAGCGTATTCTTCTAAATAACTGGAGTCACGTGAACCATATGTAATATGCAATGTGTCCATAGACCCACTGCAACCATGTAATAACTAATGTTGACTTATAAAGTCTCTTTAAAAATATTAATTTAAAAAAGAATGTGACAAATGATTTATGCAAATTGACGATATTAGATTACAAATTTATTTGGTTTCATTAGTTTATTCCTTTGAAGAAGAAGAATGATCTTAATAGAAGTTTCAGTTCATTTTTTTCAACTCGCATTTCAAGCTGTTTCTTTTCCTTTTTTTTTTTTCTTTNAAAAAAAAAAATCCTTATTTCATGCTGAATCCTGATACACATAACGAACTATGTTGAACGAACTTACTTTTTGCAGATTCAAATTACGAACTATGCCCAGAATAAAAAGCTCACAGACGATGCTGTCTTAAAGCTTCGTAAACTGAATAGTTTCGTTGCCCAATTAATTTTACCTAATTGTTGTAGTAAATCAGCTTACCTAAAAAAGTCTATGTTTTGGAAATGGCCCATTTTCCAATTTAACGACATATGTAAACTATCATAAATTAATTCAATATTTTAACAACATAAAAATGTTCCGTTGAAAATCATACTTTAGCAACATTAGTTATTAATCCTTCGAATTCTTCGCCCAACATTAAAAGCTAAGAGTATAGACATAACTTTCATTTCAGTATTACTATTGCAAAATTTTGTCAATAATAATTTGAATAAAAATGCTTTGAATGCTTTGTTTTGCTCAAACTATCTCCATATTTTATTTTTTATTGGTAAGTATGGATGTTTGTAAGTGAACAGAAAACTTAAACTGAATTTACCTCAGCAAACTTGCTATTAAATTTGGAAATTTGTTAAAAAATTTTGATTAATTAAATTTTTTATTTAAATTAAATCTTTTGATATCATTCTTTTATCCTAATTACCTCGGAGTTAGATTTTTTGGAGAAAATTATTGTACGTAAGACGAGCACGCTTACACACAGAAAACACGCAGAAAATTCCGGATCCAATAACGGTAAAAAGTACTGACTCTCAGGTATATCAGTACTAGTACTTTTTACCGCAAAATTTTGCTGACCTAAAGCTCTAATATACCGTGAGTTTTACAAAAATATGTATCGTAAAAATACAGAACTGTAATTTAATAAATAGTACTGCAAAAACTATCAAAATTTTACGGTAAACGTGAATTTTACGGACACTACACTCAGGGTTTCAGTACTTTTCACTGAAAATTCATCTGTAATTTTTTATATTGAATATAAGTTGGAAAAATAACTAGAACACTTTTCCCATTGATTTTAGAAAATTTAATATCGAATCGGTAGATATAATTTTTCTCAAAAAAATTTCTCATTAAAGAAAGGAGATTTATCCGAAAAAAACAAGCTGACATATGCTTATTTTTTTCTGAAAACTTAAAAACAGACAACTGCATATTGCTGAATCAGCTGAACTTAGGTTCATAGGAAATGTTGAAATGATAAGATAGAAACTGCTTGACTCTGTCCACTCAATGGTTATTTTCAGTTAGGTAACTCAAAACAAGAATATATAATACCATTGATAATTGAAACATGTGCAGATATGACTTTCTATTTATTGTCTTAAGCAAAATTACTCAGCTGTAATGGAGCATTTCCTAAAAACTTTATCTCTAACATCCTTGAATTTTACTTTAGTTTGTTTAACATGGAAGTAATGCACTGTAGCACGCAGCACGCATTTAACGTATCGTGTAATAATTTGAAGTGCTGCTTGCATGCTCCATAAATATGGATATGGCGTTATATCGACGCTATATGTTATAAATGCGTTATAATTACGTAATATTGAATAATTTGCTGAAAATATTTGTAGTTCTGAATAAGTTTTCTTCACTGAGTATTTTCTGTATGGCAATGACATTTCTGAAAAAAGAAAGAAAGAAAAACATAATTCAGGTAATAAAAATAAAAATTTAAGGTATTTAAGACATTTGTTTAGCATTTTTTCCAGTTCACATGGCGATGACTTACCAAAATATCTCGCTTCTCAAAATTAAAGCTCTTATTACCAGACATTTAGCATAAAATACAAAGATTAAAGGCAAATTTAACCGAATAAATGGTCTTTATACCATGCTCGAATGTATCAAGATAAAATTACTAAATTTTACCCCATTTACCAAATTTTATCTTATAGTATAAACCATATTTTATTGTAAATTATTCAAATAACAAACCATTTCGGTAAAAACTGCTGTGCTCTTTGGCATTCCCATAGAGCTAGAAACACAGTAATTTTTACCATATCCTGGTAATTTCGACCTTATTTTTTTCTTGGTATAAATGTTGAAATACTGAAAGAAAATATTTAAAATGCAACTTGCATTTTTTAACGTATAAATGCTCTCATTTCATACATTTTAGCACACAAAATCTACGATGATTATTGTTTAGAAATAGAAAATGTATAAAATTTATGTTTAATGTTTAGAGATTAATGCATAACTACAATTATTATTTTTTTTCAGTAATTGTGATGTGTGCATCGCCAGATTCAATTCGGACAATTTTATTTACTGCAGATGAACTTGGAATGGTAAATAGTGGAGAATATGCTTTCTTCAGTGTTGAGCTTTTTACCAGGTAATGGTGACATAAATAAATTTTTCTCCTTTTTTCACCTTTAATTTATCTCTGCTTATTTAGACGATCGCACTTATGTATAATTATATTTTGTCAAAGTTACTTGTAAGCCAAGTATGCATTTTACGATTATATTTGCATAATTTAGAAATTCTAAATCCTTCCTGTTTACTTTTTACATTACGAACCAGTCTCCTTCCCTAAAAAATTATTTCTATCCAATTTATATCACTATCATCATTTTCTTTCAATTTTTTACAGTAACCAAAAACATATAAAATCTTTTAGAAATGATTTTTTTTCCTCGCTCTTTCAATTTCACTTTTAAGTACCTCATGAAAAGGGTTTTCTTTAACACCCCTACTTAATATATAAATATTTAAAATTTTTGTCAATAATGAATTCTAAATCTACACTCATTAATGGTCACAAAGCAACATTCTAGACATAAATCAACAAAAACACTTTTAAAATCCGTCGTATAACTTTAAACAAAACCGGAAAAAAAAACATAAAAATAGTCCAATAACCGTAGAGGAGTATAAAGGGTGGAAAAAGGATTTTTGAAACGTCTAGCAGTATATACCAAAGTACAGTACAGTATGTATTTAACTGTTTCGTTTTTTTTAGTCCTGTCAGCTTTTTTAATTATATGACAGATTTCGATAGCATTTTTCTTCTTGCATAAATAATATTTTATAACCCACATTGTGGGTAATTTTTTACTGTATTTATTAGAAGGATTCAGATGAACATATATTATTAGTGGCCCTCATAGAAAATACTTTGGAAATAAAATCATTCAGCTTCTGTAAAAATAATCTAATGCAAATAGATCAATTAAATATTCAGACTTTCCTATTCAAAATTTATTTCAATTTAGTAATTATTAATAATTATCATTATGCTTTTTCTTAATAGTGTTAGCAACTATTGAACGCTTATAATTCGCAAGCAACTTTAAATTAATATATCAAAGATATTTAGCTTTCCTTCAATATAAGTATCGTTTCATTCCTATTCACAAATTTTTGACAAGTCATAATTTATTAATTCTCTGCAACAAATACCATGGCAAACCACTGCAATCTCACTTTCTTTATAAGAGAAATGCACAAGCCTAATCGCAGAAAATTAAAAAAAAAAGCAATACTGTAAAATTAAGCTAATAGAAATATGTCAATTAAATATTCAGATTTTTCTATTCAAAATTTATTTAAATTAATTTATAATTATCTTCATATTTTTTCTTCATACTGTTTGTAGATATTGATTATAGCTTTCTTTCAATATAACTGTCTTACCTTTCCTATTCACAAACTTTTGAAGAGTCATAATTAATAAATTCTCTGCAATAAATGCCGATGCAAATTATAGCTATGTCAGAAATTTTCTTCATATTTGAATTGCACAAACGTAATCGCAAAAAATTTTAAAAAAATACAAGCACAACTCAGTAAAATTGATCTAATACAAATGGGTCAATTAAATATTCAGATTTTTCTATTCAAAATATATTAAATTAATTTATAATTATCTTCAGGTTTTTTCTTCATAGTGTTTGTCAATATTTAACATTTAAAAATTGCAAAACAGCTTGAAATTAATGTATGAACCATAGATAACTTTCCTTCAATTTAAGTGTCTTTCCATTTCTATCCACAAACTTATGACAAGTCATAATTAATTAGTTTTCTGCAACAAATGCTGAAGCAAACTACGGCAATGTCAAAAACTTTCTTCATAGGTGAATTGCACAAGCGAAATCGCAGAAGACACATAGCGAAATTTAAAATGCATTATTTCAGAGTCATAGGAGATTATGTTTGTTTCCCAATAATTTAATTGCAGAGTGCGTGCTGAAATATGGCGTAAAGTTTCATACACACAAAGGAAAGCAGTAATTTAAATGGCTTTGAGATGCCACAGAAAGAACAAAACATAGTCACTAATGAGCAGCTTTCCTTACTGAAAACACGCTACTTGTATAATTTAGTTGTCATTTATTCTTTGAATGCTAAATAATACAGGGTATAGAAATATTATTTAATGATTTGTAGGTTTCATATTAAGGAAATGAATAATTCATAATTGCACTAAAGAGCATTGAATTGTGTGATATATGAATAAATTATATTCTGATACATGCATTGGATAAGAAGTATGGTCACAACTACAGAAATATGGTAAAATTTACCGTGTTTACGGTTCCATATGAACACCAAAATGCTTGCTAGTTTCTACCGAAGCACTTGGGTAATATTTTTGTTAAAATTAACAACAAAATACTGTTTTATACTATAAGATAAAAATTGGTAACTGCTGCATATTTGATAATTTTATCATGATACCTTTTAGCATGGTATAAAAATGATTTGTTCGGTTAAATTTATTTTTCATTTATGTATATTTTACTAAATGCATGTGACCAAGAGTTTTAATTTTGAATACAAGAATTTATGGTAAACCGTTCCCATATGAACGGGAAATTAACAAATTAATATTTTAAATACTGTAAATTTTGGTTTCATTAACCAAAATTATGTTGTTGGTTTTTTACCAGAACATTATTAGCATACAGTACGCAAATTTTATCAGAATTTCTTTCACAGTGTGAAATTTCTAAAAAGTCGTGATCTAGTGCAGATACTTCAAGTGTTATGTTTTCATGTTTGCTTTGTGGCGACAGAAGAACATTTCATGCAATAAATAACTCCAATTATTGCTTTGCAGTCATTTTAAGTTCCCGTTGTTGATTCTTTAAAAAACAAAATTTATTCCAGTTTTCCAATGAGCATCAATATATTTTTTTTATTTAACTAAGGAATCAATTCTTGACAAAGAAAGGAGATCTTCTTCGAGCAGTACTTTTTGAGTAAAATTAATAAGTACTCAAATAAAAAAATTTATTTTTCAGATCTTTTATGTAACTATTTATCCAAATCTGAAGACACTGACAAATATTAAGGCAAACTTATTTTCAGTGACTTATCGGAGACAGCTTATTTGTTTGATTTATTTTATTATATTTTATATTATTTTATTTATTATTTTTGTCTTCCTGTTACAAGGAGTGGCAGGCAATAAGAACTTCTAACTTTTTCTTCTTTCTTTTGCTTAGAGTACTTTTGAGTTAAATAAATGGTACTCGAATTTTAAAAAAATGTTTTCCATATGTTTTATGCAATTATTAATCCGAATCTAAAGACAGTGACAAGGAAAATTAATTTTCAGTGGCTTATCGGAGTTATTCATTTTTGTTCAAAAAGTGACAAGCAATAAAAACTTCCATCTTTTTTCAACGGCATAAAAAATGTGACTTATACACTTGTCACGACTGTGACTTACTGCGAACTTTTCGATATGCACATATTTTATAATTTAGCTCTGACAATGAGCATACAGATAATGAAAACAATTAGACATAAGTAGTAAAATATTTACCATTTAGCCATTAAATATTTAAAAAAAAAGCATGATATGAAAAACAAGAACTTGCATTTGGTTGTCGTAGAATTTTTTACGAGATTTTAATTAAAATTTTCCAATTTAGAGTTCTTAAAATGCTCTCAAAAAGTAATTTGTAAATCAATTGTGGACAAACTGTATGAAAAAATGTGGAACTCCTTTGTTTTGCTGGATGGAGATCTTCTTAAAACGTTTTGGAAACAATTTTGAATAGCTGCAATCGCTTTTCAAATTCCCAATTGTTGCTTTTCTATACTAATTAAACCACCTTGTTTGTAATCCTTTCGTTTTCTCTTGATGCGACGAGAGTACCAGATCAAAGTGTTGTACATCCAGCAATTGATATTTCTTTTGAGCTTCATGACCAAGTAATTATCATTTTAAAACCTCCTCTTTGATATCAATAACTTTGTTGCTTTATCCTTGTTCATCTTTTATGGAAAATCGCTACGTTCAGAAAATTTCATTTTTTGTGTTTGCGTTAGATATGATGATGAAAGGCTCAAAGTTATCAGTATAAAAATATTAATAAACAAGCAAAAAGGAATTTAAAACCAATTTAGCGAGGGCGAAAATAAAGATATTAGTTTTAATATATATATATATANTATGTGTGTATAATAAAACAATTTCGATTTTTTCAAAGAGAGTGCCTAAGAAACACCTTGCGTTAAGGAGTTAATAATTGTTAATATTTCCGCATAAAATTGTAGCTTAAAAAGCAAGCAACAGTAATCTAATTAATGAAATTAACGGCATGGAATATTTTCAAAGAGATTTATAATGCTGATGATTGCAACAAGACTGGAGCACTTTTAGTTTCTCCCACGCACACCACCACATTTCATCAATTTTGCAAAATTTTATTAACCTTCCTTCAATATAAGAATATTAATTTACTTCCAGAAACTTTTGACATGTCATAATTAAATTCCTCCCGTTAAAACTTTAAGAAGGTAACGAACAACACAGTAGTGTCACAACTACCATCCCACGTGTACCGATCAAGGACGATCCTGAAAACAATTTATACCGGGCTATGTTGCTTAGAGCATTCGTCCCTCGGCCTCTAATACAAAGTAATTAGAGAGTAGCTGGAATAATGAATGAGATTACCCACCCACAAGGGACTTAAGTAATTAAATGGCTGAGAGATGTCTGGGAAAAGAAGAAAACATATTCGCAAATAAATACTTCCCCTAACTTCAACATGTCTGTAGCTGTGCCTTATTTTATTCTTTCAACGCTAAACAGCGGTGTTTAAATGAACAATGCTTGCTTCGTTCAAAGGAGTTGAGACTTTCTCTGATTAAATGTGTTGAATTATTCATTTCTATTTTGATTTATACCTTTAGGAGTATTTTATTAGACATAAAAGTTTAATAATGAATGTTTTTAATATACAGCGAAACCTCTCGGGAGTGACCACTCTCCGTTCCACAGTGAAATGGCTGTTGATGGAGGCTGGTTGTTCTTAGAAGTTACCTCTATTGACTTCAAAATTGTTATCAAAGGAACATGATTTTTCTCAA